TCTCTGCATTCAAACTTTTCGCATGTGACTTAACTGGGTCCCAAGCAGTTCCAGCAGCATTGAAATAATAGTTTACTTCATTGTTGAAGTTTGAGAAACCAAAGTCTAAGTCAACTTTGTCTTTGCAAAATTCGGCGAATGACGTTTGATTTGTTCCCTTTACGTCTGTAAGAGTGAATGGGTCTTGTGTTGGTGCAATGACTAAGTTATTTTTGCTTGGAGTAAGTTCGATAGAAATTTTTTCCTGCCCAGTTGGCAAGTATCTTAAAAACCTGAAGATGAGGAAAGATGACAAAGGAACTCTAAGTTTCAGTTTTACTTTAGTGGCAGCAGTTCCATCTGAACCAGAAAGGTTAACATAAACTCCTGGAACGTTAGGGTCAAGTCTTCTTATTTTCTCAATATTTGCATACTGGTCTGTTTGTTCTCTAGCTTGTGGTTGTACTGAGTTTCTCAAAGCGAACCATTCATAGTTTGCCCATGTTACTGTTTGAACTAAGTCAGAGTTAGAATATATCTTATATCCCATGAAAAACTTCTGGAGCATATTGGTATCCGACATAGAAAATTCCATTGCAACCTTTCTTGTCAGACAACTTGGCAGAAGGTTTTATTTCAATGTCTTGTTCCACGTATAAGAATGAGTTGTCAATAGAAATAATATGAAACCTGTCGCAAGCAATATCTACTGTTGTTGAAGAACCTTCTCCAAACTCACCTACGTTTCCATAAGAAACAGCAGTTGTATATTCGTAAGTTCCAGGAACTATTTCTGACCTTCTAATGGCATTGTCGCATTCGTTATACCATTCGGAAACATTTCCGTTCATGGCATCCAAAACTGTTGGCGTTATATTCTGAGCGGCGTACATTTCATATGGGTAAAAATATAGAATAGTTGGATTTATTTGTCATAATTGTTTCGTACCAAGCTTTACTTTGTTCTACTCTTCTTCTTTGGTGTCGCTTTTGGTAACTTGCCCTCTGCTTCAAGTTGTTGCATCTTTGCCTCATGTTCACCTAGTATGTTGTAAATTTCCATGTCCTTTTTGCCTTTGGGCTCTGGTCGCCCATCTCAGGTAACCTATATCCTAGAAAGATTTTGTCATAGTTTGTATTTGAGTCGTCGCTTATTGTTTGCATGACTCTTTCCTGAGTTTCCGGTTCAAGCTCTTCAAATATAGCTTGTCCATATGGAATAAGCTCGTTTCCAAATATATGTTTTTGTAGCCATTCTGGTTTTCTTTCCATGTTACCAATAATATCTTTTGTGAATGGGAAAGCTTTTACCCAATGTTTCAGTCTTGCGTCATTTATTTCTGTAGTTGGTTTTATTTTGTCAAGGAACATGTTTTTCAATACTAACATTTCATTTGGTACTGTCCATTTGAGTTTTCTTAAATATTCATCCATTCTCGGTTCATTGTCTGCAAAGTAAGTTTTTATGACATTTTGTAAACTTTCGTTTGCAAGGTCATGTACAATAGGTTCTCTTCCTTCTCTCTCCCTAACTTTCTTTCTAAACTCTTCACCAAATATACCATCTTTATGGTTCTGTGTAGTTCTTTGAGATAAATGTTTTAGAACGTCAGGTGTTATATTTCCTTCAGCCATGTTCATTTCATACTGGTTCAAAATATCTGCATCTTTCATATCTTTCAATGGCATTAAAGCCGCGCTGAAAATACCAGCTATATCTGGTTCACCATTCACTTCCATTGCGTCTACAACTTCTTGGAATTGTGGTTGTAAGTTTATGAACCACCTATCCGGATTAGCTTTATGACCCCATCTCATTGTAGTTCCATAGTCTGCAGAAACAAAAGTAGGTTTGTTTCCATATTGGCTAGGTTCTGAATGAACTTTAAACAATGTTTCATTTCTATATGTTTTGGTGAAATTTAACCTTTTATTTTCACCGAGTTCAGCCAAAGATTGAACGTTATATGGTCGTAAGTAAAAAGGATTGTTGTATTTGCGTACACTTTCTTTCAGTTCTTCCATTCTATGCTGAATATTTTCATCTGATGTTGGAGTCTTTTGTATGTCGGCGAACATTTTTCGATATTCTTCTACTATGTCAGCCGAATTTTTCTTAGACTCTTGGAAAGATTCCATATTCTCCGCATACACTTGTTGAGGGTCAAGATTTTTCGGCTGTTCCAAATCTTCATCTAGTTCTGTGAAGTTAGTTTCCAAAGGAGGGACTTGTTTGTTTCCTTCAGGCTCTTCTAGCTGTTGTTGCTGAACTATTTCTTCCATGTCTGGTTGTATCTGAACTTCTTCCTGTGGAGTTTCTTGTACCTCATCTGCTGGCATTTCATATATTCCGAGACCGTTTTTAAAAAGTTCCCTATCTAAGTCATCCGGACTCATAAACCTTTCTTCTTTCGTTCCGTCTCTATTTTTTACGCGTTTCATGAAGAGAGTTGAATTATCATTTAGCTCTGACACCAAATATCTCGGAGTAAATTCAGTCATGTCATTTGGATGATATGCTATTAAATCATATCCCTTAGCGAGCTTGTATTTTCCAGGTTTGAAATTATATCCCATTTGTGCTGAACCATAAAGCTAAATAGGTTCGGGTCAGTATTTCCTTCCTTGAACTTTCTAATAGCTTCTTTATATCTGTCACTAAAGTCAAGAGTATCTGGGTAACCATAATTTTCCTTAAGCATTTTAAGAATTCTTGGTTTCCTTGTTCTCTACTTCTTTTATGTCCTTGCTCTGTTTGTGGTTGTTGCTGTGCAGTGTTTTGAACTGTTGGTTGTGGTGCAGTGTTTTGAACTGTTGGTTGTGGTGCAGTGTTTTGAACTGTTGGTTGTGGTGCAGTGTTTTGAACTGTTGGTTGTGGTGCAGTGTTTTGAACTTTGGTTGTGGTGCTGGATTTTGAACTGTTGGTTGTTGTGTTGGTTTTGGTGCATGCCTGTGTCTGTGTCCATGTGACGATGTAAATGTTTTAGGTAGTCCTGGTGCAGGTGCTTCTCTTGGAGGGTTTGGTGGTATATAAGTTCCACTAGCTAGTATATAAGTTCCACCAGCTGGTATATAAGTTCCACCAGCTGGCACATATGTTCCATCTGCAGCATAATGTCCTACCTGACTTTTCGTTTTTAAGAAAGCATTTACTAGGTCTGTTTTGGTCTGTTGTAACTCTTTTTCTTGACTTTCCACAACAGTTGCTCTAACGGCGTCATAGGCACTTTGAACTGCCTGTCTCGTTGCTGCATCTGTTATTTTCGTCATATTTTGTGCTACTTCTCTTAACTCTTTGTCGAAACCTTCAGACTTCAGTTTCTTTCCAGATGAGAAGTCGTTCACTAGTTTCACCTTACTATGAAGAGCTTCGAAGGCATTCTTAAAGTCAGCATTCATTAAAGCTTCATTTGAACTGTCTTCATCCGCTTGTATTTTTGTCCTTATTGACCCTATAAGTTGGGCTGCTTTAGCGTTGGCTTGGGCGTCTAACCAGTCATTATTAGCTTTTATAATATCTGCGCTTTTCATTGCCTTTTGCATGGCTGCGTCGTTATTTTTACTTTCTTGTGCTAAGTTTTCATACTGTACGGTTTGGTTTTGCAACTGTAAAAGTTTTTCTGCCTTTACATTTGCTTCAACTTCTTTTTTATACTCATCGCTATCCATATATGTCTTCAGGGCTTTTTGTTTTATTTCTTCATCTTTCAGTACTTTATATTGAGTAGTATGGTTTTTCAAATTTATAACATCTTGTTCCATTTTTGCTACTTCTGCTGCTTTTTCTGACACTTTTTTCGCATATTCCTCTGTACTTAGTTCTTTCAGTTGTTCTTCTTTCTTCTTTTTCTCTACGTTTAACTCATTGAGTTTCTTTGTCTGTCTGTCATATTCTAGTTTCTTTTCGTTTTCACTTATTTGTTTCTGTATGTCTATGTTTGACTTTTTGACATCTGTTATTTGATTTTTGAGTGAACTCAAATTCATTTGACTTTGAGGGTTATAAGCTGTTCCGTCTGCAGCTCCACCATAGCCTGCCATTTTCGCTAAAAGTGCCGCTCTTAAACCTCCACTCTGTGCACCAATAACTCGGTTTAAAAGCATAGGGTTGCTTGACATTTGTTGCAACATAGTGGGGTCATTCATCATTTGTTGTTGCAACTGTTGTTGTGGTGTCAGTTTTACTATTGGATGTTTCAATGCTCCCTTCCTCTTACGTATATTCTTACGTAGCTTACGTGGCATTTTAAGTGAAGTTAAAAAGCGGTTTTTGACAGATGTTTATATGACACTTTTGTTCAGCACAAAAAACTACTCGGTCAAAGTGTTGTCAGTTTTGTAAAATAACGGTCCTATCTCATTCTATAAGGGGGGAAAGTCTTCTCAAAGTATACTTCCTTGGAACGCTTGTAACTTTTCCTGTAGCGACGATAGACCCTTACTTGTCCGGACAAAGTTATACTATTTTGAGTGCTCTACAAAAAAGTCAACGGCTGGCTTGTCCTCAGAAATTTTTTATGGGCTAGAGGGCACGAAGTGCCTGGAAGCTCATCCCAAGAAAAAAAAAACTTCATTATACTAAACATCTTCAGGGCTAGAGGGCACGAAGTGCCTGGAGGCCCCACTACCTTTTTTTTTTTTTTTTTTTTTTTTTTTAACTCTTTGTTTATTTCAAATATATAATTACAACTGTATGATATCAAAGAAATCTTTATCAAATTAAAGTTTCTTTAAAGTTTTCCATCTCCAAAAAAATTTAAAAAATAAGAAATTATAGATAAAAAATACAAATTTTTAATCAAAATCTGCAATTAATAAAAATTTTTATCTACATTATGGGGATAAATTAATAGATCTATCGAATTATGAGATTTTATCCAATTCATTTCGATAATGTTTAATTAATTTTATAGATATTTCTATTTTATGAAAGAAATATTCCAAAAAATCACTAGATATTTCCTTTCTTTGTATTTCAACCATACTAATCAAAAATTAAATCATTTTTGACACTTTTTATAATGTATATTTTCTTTTTAATTGCATCCAATACACCGGATAATATAGAAATTGACGGAGAAATTATTACAATGCCTCCTCCAGATATGATAGGCTATGGAAAGAAAAATCCATTCATGGACAAAATGAAAGAAATTATCAAATCAAAAGACCAAGAAAAAATCAAAAAGATGCTAGCAAACTTTGTTAAAATTGAAGATCCTATACCATTACGTACTGAAGATGAAAAAGAGTCTAAACCTCTTGAAGATTGCGGTGTTGCAAACACAATTCGTCTTGATGATGGAAAATGCATATGCAAAGATGGTTACATATCTGATGATAGTATTTTGACAAGAGGGTGCTGGTCTTGTGACCATTGTTCTCCTAATGCAACTTGCGAATATCCTGGAGAGTGCAAATGCCAACATGGGCTAGTAGGTGATGGTAATACATGCTATGCACCCAAACCATTTGTATATAATGCAACAATTAATCGAGATAAAATACTTGCAACTTTTCAAACCCCCTTAGAATATCATATCTCCGAAACATATTGTCGTTTTGGTATCTACGAATCTCAAGGAAATATTATAAATACAAATACTGTTGAATGTATTTGTTCCCTTGAAACGAAACCTTCAACAATTACCATCTCATTCGATAGACAGCAATGGTCAAATCCAGTTACTCTTGTAGATATTTCTCCAAAGTTCCCGTGGAAGAAAGTTTCTTTAATCTTTGCTTTTGTTGTAGTTGCATTAGGAATATTCGCTTACATAGGTTCAACGAGAAAGAGAGAAACGAAGTCCGACTCATTAACTCCATTTCTGGCAAAGGATCCTAAAAATACTTATCAGAGTACTAGAAGACGTGATATTTAGTCAAGAAAATACTATTAGTAAACTTTTTGTGTGCTGTTTATGTTTAACTATATTAAATTTTAGTTTCAAAAATCTAAGTTTTCTTTTAATTTTAACAAACAATAGCAAAATTCTTACTCAATTATAGTAGGTATTTGACTACGAACTCTAGAGAAGCTTGACAGATTAAAAGTATTATGAGATCTGTTCCGATTTAATTTTCGTCCATTTGGAATTGACGGACGTACAATGTTATCAGTACTTCTTTGATTAGGGCTCATTATACCATGTGAAAATGTCTTCTCAAAGTATGGGTGAGAAAGAACTTCATCAATTGTCGCGCGATACATAAGATCTGTTTCAAGGCATCTTGAAATCAAATCTCGAAGTAAGGAGTCGCGGACAGGTTCTTGGTTGTAGATTCCTTTTTCAACGCTATCTTTTACTGCTCTTTGATCTAAGCCATTAAATGGATATTGTCCTGTAACAATATAGTACATAGTTACACCCATAGCCCATATATCAGCTGTGCTAGGGTTATAATAATTAATACCGAAAATTTCTGGGGCCATAAATAATAATGTTCCATGGAAGGAAGCAGATGGCTTCGATCTATTGCACATTGTTGCCATACCAAAGTCTGCAATTTTTAGGCGGCCATACTTATCAACTAAAAAGTTTGAAGGCTTAATATCGCAGTGGGCTATTTTATGATCGTGGCAAGCTTTCACGCATTTCGCGACTTCAGATAATGTATTCTGAATTAAACATGGACTGGTATACTTTTGCCTTTCACTTAAAAATTTTTCGAGATCACTTGGACAGTACTCCATTAGTAAATAAACATATCCATTAAAGATATAGTATTTATATAGCCTCACAATATGTGGATCATCTATTGTTAATAGGCTATCAATTTCAGATTGATTAAAATGATCAATTGGAATTTTCTTGAGAGCAAATTCAGATTTATAAAGGGTATTGTATACATAAAAGATTAAACCGAATCCGCCTTGAGCAATTGTATTGATATATTCTAGATTTTGATCGCGAAAGAAGGCTATTTCTTCAATATTCATTATGAAAAAATATGAATTGAAATATTTGTATGTAAATTGAATTTTTTTGAGTGATATTCTCAAATTTTTGACAAAACCACCAAATTTGAAAGTAGATTTTTGATAATTGAGTGATTTGATTTTTGTCGAAAAACCATTAATTCAGTTAATTCTGATACAAAATTTTAATTATGAAGTTTGAATAGAACTGAAAGCAAATTCGCATATCAGATATATTAAGGGTTTCGTTTTGCTAAAATTGTCACTTTTATAGCATATTTGTTTTTGAATGTTTTGCGAAAACAAAAAAAAACTATGATATACATTGTGTGTGTAAAGAAAATACTTTATTTACTAGTTAAAAAATCATTTGGTATTGATCAAGTTATTTTTTCTGGATAAGATATTATATGGATAATTGGATAGAAAATACAATTATATAATCTTGTACCTGGTTTAATTAAGCTAATTGTCATCAGAAACTTGTAATTTTTATGAATTTCAGATTTTCTTTTCATTACTGCTTTTCTTAATAGGTCAAGTTCTTATTTACGTTATAAAGTATGATATTTACAAATATCAAGTTATCATGTTTTTTGAGAAATTATGAGAAACAAACAAAAATGAAAAAGATAGGAATAGCAATGAATAGTGATGTGGGTATAGAAAATGTAAGAGATATGAATGCAAAGCAATCAGTATTTAGGACATTGACCATAGATTTCGAAAAAAATGCTGCATATTGAGCGTAAACTATGATTATATTATAAGGCTGTCATTTAAAGCATAATGAAACTATTCCCTTTTCATTTTAATCGAATAAGATAGTAAAGATTTTTGAATTAGCTAGAAACTGATGAGATGTTTTCACAAATCAGATTTTTAATCTCTATAATGCATAATTCACTCAATATCTCAATTTTGATATTGCGAGATATTTTTGCTATCGGTTTCGCAATTTTGACACAATAGCAAGAGGGTTCTATTGTTGCATGCTAAGTTCGGTCAACGATAGAAATTGAGTGGAAATTAATCGTTGAGGAAGTACGATTATGTAAAGTAAAAAATGTTGTGGGATTTTTAATATTATATATTATTTTATAATAAATTTTTTTGAGTCATTTTAAGAAGCACATATAATTTTTTGAATTTAAAAATTAAAGTAGTGTCAAACGAATTTATCACTTAATTTAATACTCAGATTAAAAAAAAAAAAAAAAAAAAAAAGGTAGTGGGGCCTCCAGGCACTTCGTGCCCTCTAGCCCTGAAGATGTTTAGTATAATGAAGTTTTTTTTTTCTTGGGATGGCCTTCCAGGCGCGTTGCGCCCTCTAGCCCATAAAAAGTTTAGTATAAATGAAGTTTTTATTCGGAAAGCCTTCTTCTGGGTCGAAAACATTATATAATGTGTCGCTTTTCACAAATTATATATGTTTTCATGCTTTGTCACTTTTCTGTCACTTTTCAGGAAAAAAACATTTTTATTATTATATATAAATGAATTTTACAAAACCACCGTTACCGTTCTTTGGAAATAAGAGTAGATGTAAAGATATTATATTGAGAGAACTTAAGAAACTACCGAATGGTCTAACATTTGTAGATTTGTTCGGTGGAAGTTTCTATATATCCCATTTATGTCATACAATATTCCCAGACTCAAAGATTATATGCAATGACTTCGACAACTATATGGACCGTCTCAAACATATACCAGACACAAACAATATATTGAAAGAGTTAAAAGAAAAGATACCTATAGGTAAGATGGAACGTATACCATTAGATAACAAAAATATTGTGAGAGAGGTTTTGAAAAAAGCAGAATATATAGACTGGGATAGTATATCTGCTAGACTATTATATAGTGGTGCTATAAGAGTTCATGACATTGAAACACTTATGTCAAAAGTTTTATATCTTAACTATACAAATGTTTTCAAAGAGGACATAGAAAAATATATTGAGGGTATAGAGTTTGTGAGATGTCATTGGACAGAGTTGTATGAAAAATATAAAGACAAGGAAAATGTTTTCTTTATAGTGGACCCGCCGTTCTATAACACATGGGATTTTCAATACCAAGTAGACTGGACTTTGAGAGACTCTTTAGAAACTTTAGACGTTATACATAACCATCCATGCTTTTACTTTACATCCGATAAAAGTGGTTTGGAAACCGTTATGAGATGGTTAGAGGACATACATGACTATGAGTTTAGATATGACAAGATAGAATATGAGAGAGGTCCTATAAACCGGAGAAAGTGTCATAACAAAGAAATTTTATTAGTAAGTAAATGTGGTTTGAAATAGGACTACTTGTTTTAGGTTTTTTCCATTGTGTCATTTATTTCTTTGACGTGGCAGAAAGATATAGAGAATATGAAGATGAACCAATGCCTGCAAATGTTCAGTATATGTACTCGTAAGAGATATTTTTATCTAATATTAAATGGACGCACAGAACTTAGCGAATGCACAGCAACCTGGACAACCAAACCCAGAGAATATTCCAAATGAAGTTAGAATACAAACTGCAATGGCAAACTATGGTCAAGTGCCAACAGATGTACAAATGCAAACTGCCATGTCAAATGACGCTGCGTTAGGTTTGCCACCATGGTATGCAAATATGAGATGGAAAGAGTTTTATACAAACCCTGAAGTGGGATATAAACAACTTTATGCAGATGACGCGAACACAGGAGTTGACCCAGAATATGTTTTCTACCAGAGGAGAAACAGAATGTATGAGCTCCAGTTAAAGAATGCTATGGAACTCAACAGGAAAACGTAAGAGACTAGGCGGACATTAGATTTTTACATATAGTAAAATGGGTTTCTTCAGTAGTATTGGAAACTTCTTTCGAAATGTTGGAAGAGGTATATGGAATGGAATAAAAACCGTAGGAAGAGGAATTGGAACGGAGTCAAAAATATTGGTAAAAGAGTAGGTCAGTTCGTTGGTATTATACCTAAAGACCCTGAACCAGAAGAACAAGCTCCTGTTATACAACAGCCTGAACCTGCACCACAGTCTAGTTGGCAACCAATCCAACACCTCAACCGTATTAAAAAATTATATTTTTACCGTTCGATAGTAGTTGTATATGAAACTAAGTTCTAAGTAAAACGCATGGTATAATGGAATTATTCTTTTTCTTCCATCTGTAGTAAACCATACTTGAAAGTCTGAAATACTTCCACTTGTGGTTCGTATAACTTGTAGGTTTTTCGTAAAAGTCATTTGCCAAGCATAAGAAAGAGTTTTGGGCGCCAGAAAATGAAGCATGAACAATAATAGCATCTTGGTCGAAAACATTTTCATATGTTCCATTAGGGTTTTCGACTTCATAAAAGTCTGGGTGTACTGGATATGCCAGCTGATTTAACATCCTCATAAATCTATACCATGCCAAGTTGTTATATTTTGTAGAAATATAAACGTTTTCTCCAAGGTCTTCTATTTATTGATTTTAACAGTTGCATTTTTCCTGTCATAAATAATATCGAGATGGTATTCTCCCTCGTCAATGTTATACTGGTTTGCATATTCGATATAGATATCGTTTATTTTTTCTTGAAAAGCTTGAAGAGTTGTTTCTAAGTTTACAAGCAAACTAACTTGTAAAAGTTTTCCCTGTTCAAATTTCTCATACATACGTTTTTCTTTGTTATAGTATCGAACTTCAAAACCGACCGTAAATGGGAAACCATGTATGGCTTCTGAAATGAACTTCATTCTACGAAAAGCCAATAGCTTTTGTGACAGATGGGTCTCTTAGCCATCTTAATGGGTAGTCAAAACGATAGCCTTCATGCTTTACGGTATCTGTCTCAAACTTTTGACCGACATTAGTAAAAAGTTCATCTAATGGTTTAGTTGTAGCAACTCTTGAATTTTCTTTTTCTATTTGAAAGCATATTTTATCTAGAATAAAAATGTCAAATGAAACAGCGTCTATGAGAGAAATACAACACAACCGACAACTCATTATGCAAGCTCTAAATAAGAACACAACAAACTTTTCAAACTATTCTAAGATATCTGAGTCATTGAAAGAAGGAAACTTAAAACTGACATTAAACCCAATGACAGATGAGTTTCTGTTTCAAGACAATAAGAACCATACTGTCTGTATAAATCCAACAAAAGGAACTTTAAACGAGAAACCTATAAATGAACTTCTTTTGAAAGCAGATGTTGACAACAAAGCTGACAAAGAATATGTAGACGATGCAATAGCAAAAGAAGAAGAAAGAGCTAACAATGCTTATGCAACAAAAGAACATACTCATCCTGAACTAGCAGACAAAACATATGTTGACAATAAAATGTCAAGTGAAGTGACAAGAGCTGAAAACGAATATTCTAAAAAGACTCATACACATTCTATATCTGAAATAACAGACTTAAACGTTAGCCTTGAAAAGAAAGCGGATAAGGAATATGTGGCTAGTAAGTTAGAGAAGAAAGCAGATAAGGAATATGTGGATGAAAAAGATAATGAAATTAAAGAAAGGGTTGACTGGTACCATGAATGGACATCGGAGACTTTTAAAGTTAAAGCTGATACAGGATGGGTTTCAGGATGTTTAGACCTTAAAGCAGATAAAACTTATGTTAACGATGAGTTAGAGAAGAAAGCAGACAAGAACCATACACATACAAGTTTTACAACTGTTAGAGCAGACGACATAATACTGAACTTTGACCTTGGTTCAAGTGCACCTTTAGAGAATCCGAGTACAAGCGTAAAAGATACTCTTAAC